CTGGGCACACCAGGACCACCCGATGAGTCCCAACTCAAAACAGTATCCACATGGCACTTCTAAAAGCCACACCTCTTAGGTTACATTCTCCAAAGGGAGGTCCATGCTACAGATTATTGGCCAAAGAACTAACAGGCACATTAGCCTTCCGTGTACCTCGTACACAAAAACAACTCAATGAGTCTCAATCAAGCAAATCTCCAGGCCTTCAGCCGTTACAAGATTGTTCATACCACTAGACCATTCTCCCAAGTTGTCGTGCCATCATAAGAATACCCATGCAACCAGGTCATTCCCCAGTCCTCCAGCCATCACGAGAATACCTATGCAACCAGGTCATTCCCCAGGCTAGCACACCCTCAAAGTAATATCCACAGGTGGCACTATCACAAATTTCTTTCAAAAATACTTTACTAGGTCTATCCACCTAATCCTTAAACAAGGAAAATTGATTAGACTCAACCTGCAAGTCTTTTAATTTTCATAACTCTGACTGGATTGACATTATCCTTTGTATTGAGTGATTATATTGTGTGCACTCAACCCCCAACTTGAGGCACTGATACAAGTGGTATACTTGCAACTCGTTCGATCCTTTTAAAACACTCATTGTCCAAGTTAAATACTATTCTGGTATCATATTATCAATTGGTACAACTTATCAATTCAATCACATGGTCGTTCAATCATCATTGGACCATTTCTAAAAGGAGTTGATCTCTCAGTTACCTCTAGCAGTTCATCACACGAATAAGTATTCAAACTTATGTTCTCGATCCAAGAACAAACAATTTTACTTTTGCAGTCAAAACAAAATAAGCACAAATAGACTCTCGTGCCTCTACCTGTTCCAATTACTGACATAATAATGCCACATACAGTCATGTATGCACCAAAAATCTTGACCTTTAACATTCCTATCTCATACCATATGAGATAAAACTTAGTATCACAATATCCATTATTTCTCCCAATTAGTGCATCAAAATTATCCATCCACTAAACAATTCTTCAAAGCATTCCGCTTAGAAAGTATTTCAACCATCTTTCATACCAAAAGTAGAACACAGATCCATCAATCGTCCTTAGTCCATCTCACTAAGTGAAGACATTTAGGTAGCGAAAATTCACTTCTATTACTCCCTCTTTGATTGTCTCTCTTCTTAACTTATTATCAACTTATTTAACTTGTAAATCTTTACTTCATTTATTCATCCAAAAAGTAGAGCCACTTGCTTTTCTAGGATCAGACTCTTTAGCATTCTTTATCTTCTGCCTTTTATGAAGATCCTTAACAGCACGACATTAATTAATCAAGGTGTGGAAATTTCTACAACCACAACTAGCAAGACTCTTTGCAATCTATCCTTAAGACCCTTTTTGAAATTTGACAGCCAATGACTATAAATTCAGCATAACCTGCTTGAAATGAGTATATTTAGCCAACTAATTAGACTTAACTAAATATAATCAACATACATGTCTTCCTGCACAAAATCATCATACTCATCCTTCGTCCTTCCCTAACATCATGGGAAAATACTTGTTAAGAATGTGCCTCTCAAACAAAGGTCAAGTAATAGCATAACCCTGCTATTCAAAAGGGCGGACAATATTCACCCACAAATCTATAGCATCACCCTTCAACATGTAGGTGGCACATAATAGTCTCCTGTTAACATCACAATCCATCACTCAAAAATCCTCTTTAAATTTTGAAACCAAGCAGCAGTAGCAACAACAACAGGGTCATAACTCCTATCAAAAGTAAGTGGTTGATGTTTCCTAAAAGCATTCATCTGTCTATCCTTACGCTCAGATTCACCATTTGGGTGACTGCTGCACATCAGTGCGTCGAGTATGACCAACTCTAGCAATACTAGAAGTATGATGGCTATTTTAACCTTCAGCATTAAAATCGACATTTACAATCCTGGCACCCTCTGGTGGTAGCGATGGTAGTGGAGACTAACTTCTCACTCTGCCATTTCTCATGGCTCTCAACTCTGCCATAATCTGATTCGTCAATATAACTGGTTGGCATCAATAATGTCATAATTATCTTCACTAAAGTCTCATTAGCTTGCATACTAACAGCCAACTTCGACTGCACATCCACCAAAGCAACAACAGTCGGATCCTAACTAGCGTTTGCATTAGATGCCTCAGGGTTACTTCGATTCTTAACCAAATCAGATAACATGATATCTAGCTATCAATCAGATGTTGCCTGAGTCTTTATAGGAAATACCATGACTCTGCACATGTTACACAAAGGAATGAGTCGATCAAACTCACACTAAGTGGTCACATATGCATTATCCTAGAGAACCTGGAAAATATCTCACGAACAACATAATTATTGCAATACATCAAGGAATTCCCTTTTTAAAACTGCTCTGATACCATAAAATGTAACGCCCCGTCTGCAGCCGATATATTAACATTCATATGATAGTAAGCGCAGCATGCTTTACTTAATTAGTGCGGAAACTAATTGAATAAATTATCTCTTTTTCCTTATGTATTGCAAACCTTTTCACTTCCATGGCAAAAATAAAACGGACAGCATTTCCTCTGTATTTTGGACCACTGGGGATAATTCCCACCATGATAATTTCAACCTGATTGACAGTTTGATATAATCCAGACATAAATCATATTACCTAGCCATCCATGGCGTAGGCTATCTCAGAATCATAACAGATCTCAAAATAATATCCATAGAGTTACTTACATGATTACATCAACCAACCAAAAGAGATGTAATCAAATAAGTAACCTAGACATATACAGACATAACTATCAACAGGGCATAGACATCTCCTATGCTCTCAAAATAATGACACGGCATATAGATACGTATCCAAAATAAATTCATGTCCAATACTCATCAACATATCAAGTCAATCCTGACTATCAGGTCAGGTAATATCTCTCGTCTGGCTTCTTGCCACGCTATGCCTCAACATCATCAGCTCATGTACCTGAAATGGTAATCCCCATAACGCGGGGTGAGATAATATAATTACCTCAGTAAGCCAGGGACCCTTCGAGGGCTCCTCCACCCCTAAGCTCACTTCTGGTATAATCACAGTATAAAAATCTATGCATGCAACAGAATATGTATGACAATGCAGTGTGCAATAACATAATCCTACTGGCCAGAGAATACAACAAGTATACATTACGCAAGGAAACACCGTCTTGCAACATACCGTATGAGGTAACACCGTCTCATACTATGCATAAGGAAACACCGTCTTATGCCTCACACACACAAGGAAACACCGTCTTGTGTGGCACACAAACATCCATACATAAACATGCACCATATATCATCATTTTCACATACCATATGAAACTACTAACCTCCCTCGGAGTTTGGTGGAACAAATGGGGGATTAGTCCCAAAGGATCGAAAGCTTACCTGGAATAGCTCTTTTCCAAGTCAAAGGTCCACAAGCTAACAAATGACCAACACACCTATCCACGGTGAATTTATCATAATTAAACATATATGCATTTCATATAATTTCCACATCAAACCATTGTTTGATACTCACCTCAATCTCAATTGATCACGAGTCTTGCTCAACATCCATACTCTTGCTCCACGAGTCCACTTGGTATTACACTAAAACCAAGGAACACATTTCCATTAGTATACAGCATTAATGTATGCATATGACACTATTCATGTATATGTTACTATTCACGTATACGGCACTATTCACGTATACGGTACTATTCACGTATATGGTACTATTCACGTATACGGTATACTAAATTTTCAAAATACATTTTCACCGTAAAATTCTCATCTGAACACTTTTCTCAACATGAGCTAAGCCTCAATCAAGCTCTAACATGCTCAATCAAATCAAACTTTCAAAATTAAAAACTATATCAAATCTTCCTCAAAACTCAAAGAAAATAAGGATTTCTCAACATAAACTTACCTAGAACGAAGGGGAAGGCTTACTTCAAGCTTCCATGGCTTCAAACTCCATCAAAATCCATAATATCCATGAAATCCGAAATTTAAAGGAGGAAGATCTCTCTCTACAGTGAAACCCACCCAGAAATACTGGTACCAATGGATTCCTCTCGAAATTTCTCACAAGCTTGGCTTTGGAACGAAGTGATTTGGAGGTCTCTAGCTCAAGTTATGAATTTAGGAAGATTTTCCTTCAATTTTTCTATTTTCCTTTCGTTTCTCTCCGTGCGCTCTGTCTCACGTCCATCGAAGAATCGCGAATTTAAGGTGAATAGTGACTTATTAGTCACTTAAGTCAGTTCACTTTACCAGCGGGTATAAGTTCATCTATCTACATACCCTCATTCATTACCAAACTTTACCCAATAGACTAGAATATTTTTCTAGTCATATTTCTATATTTACTTTCACTTTTTGGATAACTTCATATACCCGCATTTTTACCACTTAACTAACATTTTAACTCCTTTTTTATCAAAGGTGACTTTATTTCTTTTACTTTTAATTATTCTTCAATATTAAATCTCATTTACTAGTGAGGGTTATTATAGTTATAGGCACCTAGTATGTGTAATTGGCATATCTTTTTTTCATACTCATATTAATATGTATTTAATTCAAAAACTTTGATACATCGACAAACTAATGATTTTCTATTGATTTTAAACAGTGGATACATGGCGCCAGAATATGCTATGGAAGGGTTATATTCAATGAAATCTAATGTTTTCAGCTTTGGAGTTCTTTTATTAGAAATCATTTTTCAGAAAAGGAACAATGGATTCTATCTTTCAAAGCATGGTCAAAGTCTTCTTGTATATGTGAGTTTTGTTGCACTCATATCATTGAGAAATTGATGTAACAAAAGTGATAGCATGTGTTTCAAGTAGAGTTTCTAAATATTCAAATTTACATGCAGAGTTGGAGACTTTGGTGTGAAGGAAAAAGTTTGGAACTACTAGATCCAACACTGAAAAAGACATACATAGCCAATGAAGCTATGAAGTGCATACACATTGATTTGTTGTGTGTAGAGGAAGACGCAGTTGATAGACCAACAATGTCCATGGTTGTTGTTATGCTAGCAAGTGACACAATGTCCCTTCCTAACCCTAATCATCCTGGATTTTCAGTTGGAAGAAAGACCAAGGACGAAGAATCAACATCAAAGGCTTCCCACGACCCTTCTGTTAATGAAGTAACAATATCAAATATTCTACCCTAGTAGTGGATGTAAAAAACCAGTCCCCGACTAATAAGGGTAGAGGTTAGGACAATTCTTATACACAACCTTACCATTACATATTTACAAAGAACCTATTTCCTGTATCAAATCTATGACCTTTCAATCACAAAAGAGTTATTTTACAATCGCTCGAGGCTTGCTTTCTTACGTAATGGATGTAACACAATGAAAATTTTGCTTTGAAAATATAATACCCCTAACCCAGTTAATTAAAAAAGGGCATGTGATTAAACATTTAATCATGCATAAATGGGTTAAATTAAGTAAAAGACCTAATTAAATAAATTAGGGTTCCTTTTTACGTAAAAAGTACAACCAGTGAGATTTTTGGGGCAAAAATGGGTGTAGGAAAAATTACCTAGAATGCAAAAGTAAAGTTAGAAATATGACTGAAAAAATATTATAGTTCATTGGGTAAAGTTTGGTATTGGATGGAAGTGTGTAGATAGATAAGTTGTTACCCAGTTAAAGTAACTTCAACTTACACACCGTAAACTCCTTTATTTCTTTCCTCCTACGCACTGCCTTTCTTCTTCTCCTTCTCTGCATGTCGAAGTTCTTCCATGGGTGGGGTTGGGTTTCAAATTTATTCCCTTGAAGCATCCAAATGAAAAAGTCCATTACATGAAATCAATAGGAAATCATCCAATGAATCAGTTCCACCCCTTATTTTAGGCTGAAAATGCTTGTGTAAAAAGTTCTCCTATTCCCCTTGTGCGAGTTACTATTCATCAAAGAGAAAAATTGTGGTTTTTCATGGAGCTTTGCTTGGAGGTTATTCTCTAGGCTTGGTATAAGGGATTAGAGGTGAGAAATCTCTATTTCCATGGTTTAAATTTTGTGATTTAAGTTTTGAAATTTTGAAGTATGTTTTGGTGGAAATTTTGAGTTTGAAATTGGAAAATTGTGATGAATTAGTGTTGTGTAGTAAGTTGTAATGTAGAGTAATCATGAACATGTGTTTAAAAAAATTAAGAAAAAGTCCCCTTGAACCACCCTAGAATTCGGTCATGATAGGTATTTAGGGTTGATGTGCAAAAATTTAATTGCATAAATTGTGAAGGTTTGAATATAGGTGTATGTTGAGATTAAGTGTGAAAGTGAGATTACATAGTGGAAAATCCCTTGGAAACCTACCCTATGTGTTTCGGCCTTTAGGGTATTATTAGGGAAAATTATGTTAAAATTATTTTGATGATGTATTTAAGTCCTAATGCATGGTTTTAGTATGATTTGGAAGTTAAATAGTTTAAGACAAAATGAGAGGCACCTTAGCTCCCTTGTATGAGTTGCCATGACCTTGTGAACAAAAATTAGGCAAAGTTAAACTTAAAATTGTTATGAGAATATTTGAATAATTTAGGGGCTATGTGTGGGTTCTAGGAACTATGAGTTGTATCCATTGATTTGATGCAAAATTCTTGTCTTTCCCTAGGTGTTGATTCGCCATATAGGCCTTATGGGGCTAGGGAACGTTAACAATTATAAAATGGTAAAAAGGAAATTATGAAGGCATGGTCTTGACTTGCGTATTGGCATAGTTTTGACATAAGTGTAAAAATGGAAGTAGGCAATAAGATGTATGCCTTGTGTAAATTTCATGGCATTAAAGCATTTTATTGATTTTGTCTTGGATTTCTTTCTCTAGGTGTGCCTAGGGACTGAGAGGGTTTGAATTGCCTTGGAGCTAAATAGGTAACTTGTGTACAAGTGAGCAGGTTGGCAAAGCTTCAAGAGGTAAGCTCTATGTTTAAGGAGTCTTTTCCTGCTTGAGTGCTCCACCATGGTTAGTGAACTATGGTTGGATTGTATGATTGTATTTGATGTTTTGTATAGATGCATTCATATAGAGCTATTTGATAACATGATATGATTTGTTCTGATATGATTTCTGTATTGATATTTGGCCATTGATTGTAATGTACACTGATGTCTGCTTGGGGTCCTCCCTCGGGACTGACGATGTACGCCTCTAATATGTTCTGGTTCCGCTTGGGGTCCTCCCTTGGGAACACGTGCGCTGAGTTCTACTTGGGGTCCTCCCTTGGGAATGACTGCGTACGCCTCTGTTAGGATATGCTTTGTTTAGTAATGATATATGTTATATGTTGCTTTGTATACTCTGTATCTGACTCTCATGCAGGAGTGAGCCTAGGGGTATGGAGAATTCTCTATAAACCTAGAGCTTATTGAGATTTGTTATCTCACCCCTTTTTGGAGACATCATTTCAGATTCTCAGATCCCCGGTGAGCCCTCACGAGGCAGGGACACGACCCTTGGTTAGAGGTGTACGATAGACCAGATTTTGAGTAGCTGTAGGCTACTGCTATTTTGTAGTATATTTACGTTGTTTCGTATTCCATTATTTTGTGGATCATGATATCTGATCCTTTATTTTGTATATGGCCTGTATATGTTTTGTACATGTTTCCACTTTGATGCATGTACAATCGTGTATTCAGGCATGTTTATATTATGATGCAGTACTCAGTTATATGTTTACCTGTTGGATTTGCATGCTGTTAGACATAGTGGCACGGAGCCAAGTTATGCATGCGCCCATGGATGGGTATATGATCCTATATGGATATCTGGTAGTTCTGAAAGTATATACTATATAAACTGCCTATCAGGGTCCCTTGAGAGTGAGATTTGAAAATCTCCAGTTGTCCGATTTACAGAGGTTACTCTGTCCGATTTTCGTCTCCGCCAAATAAGAATTAAATTAGAAGAAGTATGCAATGTGTTATGTCATGTGAAAAAGGATTAAAGAAAAAAGAAAAAGTTAGCTCGTATTTTCGTAAGTTAAGTCTTCCGTTGTTTCTGTTTGTATCATATGTATGTTAATTGAACCGGCTCGAGATGGGAATGTTACAGAAAATACTAGGATTGTAATATCAATTACAACAAACTGAGCAGCTTCCTCTACCTATGATAAGCATTTTCAATTTTGGGATTGTGATCCTAAATTTTTTAGATATATACTCTCTTCGTATTATTAATTACATAATCTTGCTTTCAAATTGTTCTAAGTTTCTTTATTTTGGTTTGATTTCTGTCTTATCATGTCCCTCTATTTGAATTAAACTTTTCTCACACACCCCTCTAAATGCAATTAGACCCCTATTTGAATATTTTTTGTTAATACTTAATTTTAAAAAAAATGTAGCACAAAAGATCTACATGATCAATAATTCTAACCCATGAAAATTACATTTTATATAAAATTATTATATGATATATATATATATATATTATTACACTAGGGTAAGTATATGTACAAGAATTTTTTACCTTTGTACTTCATATTCAGTTTACCAAGTTTCTCCTTTAAATATTTTATTTTTCTTTTTGTCTTTCGCCAAGTATCGACGCAAGTATTGGGAAGACCCTTCCTTCAAGTATTTGCTCTAAACTTTTAGGGTAGGCATAACAAATATTTTATCGCCTAGCCCTAAACTAAAAAAAAATGTTTGTTTTGTTTTTTTTAACATAAATAAATCAATTTTATCAAACGCAATTTTTAAAAATATATTTATTAGTTTGTTTGTTATATACTATGTAGCACCGATACCGACACAGGACACGTGACACGATACGACACGACACTCCGACACGTAAATTCTAAAAAAATTAGATTTCGACACGTTAGGACACATTTTGATATCAAATAATATTTTTAATTTATGTAGTGTATATTATATTTAATATTCAATAATTTAACAAAAAAATAAAATTAAACTTAAAATATTCATCAATTTTGCAAAGAAAATTAAGATATCCTAAATATTTATATTAAATGGTAATTGTAATCCAACGAATCTAATAGTTGGAACTAAAAACTCAACGCAACGCAATCTTTGAACTTTTTTTGAATTTATATAATGTGTGTTGGAGTGTCGGAGTGTCGGTGAGTGAGTAAATAGTCACCATACAACTAACAAAAAATGGGGGGAAAATGGATGTAGATAATGTTTGAATTACCCAATCCATATTGTTTTCACAATATTAAAGACGCGTATGCTTCTTGACCAAACATGATGCAGATGTTCCATCGCATTTTGGTATATATCAAACACTTAATTAACATTAATCCAGTTATCAACAAGACAAATAGAGGCCCAAAAAATGGTTTACTTTTCCAAATGTTGACCAAGTATTAAAATATTTCATCATTTTCAAATGTTCACATAGTTTGTCCTCTGCAAATTACAACCTTACATTATTGATTTTTCAATGTGAGAATTTTCTATCCTACCTCACCTAACCCCACATGCTTTGTGATATGAAGGTGGTTATTTCAAGTTGAATAACGTAATATAATATAAATTACTTGCATGGTTTTGCTGAGTTTTTCCAATATTCTTTGAAGTTTTCGAATATTATGTGGGTTCAAATTTACTATTCTGTTTGGTCAAAAAAATCACGCCACAAGCAATCATTTCATGATTCTATGAACATCTAAAATTTCATGGTACATCAATGTCAAATGTTTGACAAATTGATCATATATTACCATGAAATCAAGACCTCTAAATCACTAGCCTCACATAAACTATGTTGATCAGACACAGAATGCTCTATCAATGGTTATTTACCATCAAATTGATGCTCCTTATTTACTTTGTTTCTGGTCAGAACAATAGCAATACAGAACCACTTGATTATAGATATGCTTGTTTGGACCAATCTTCTGTTCCTCCTTCTAACACATATCAAACCAACCTCAACAATCTCATCTCATCACTCTCATCTGATTCTGCTACAAGCAATGGTTTTGGGAATAGAACTTCAGGCAATGATCAAAGCAACATAGTTTATGGACTCTACCTTTGCCGTGGTGATGTTAACACAAGCCTTTGCCACTCATGTGTCCAAAACTCTAGCATATTGCTCAAGCAGCACTGCCCCAATAATGCTTCAGCTATTTTGTGGTACCCCTTTTGTCTTTTGAGGTACTCAAACCAGAATTTCTTTGGCAAACTCACCATACAGCCAAGGATTCCTATGTTTGATGCAAAGCAAAATTTTACCAGTTTTGGAGAATTTGACAGTGATGCTAGGGTTTTGATGAATGGTTTGATACAAATGGGTTCAGAGGCACCTTTAATGTTTGGGACACATATGTTCAATATAAATGGTACTCAGAGAAGGTATGGATGGGTACAGTGTAGCAGAGATATTACTAGTGAGGAATGCAGAACATGTTTGAGTAATATGCTTGAAGATGTTGAAAGTTGCTGTGAGGAGAAGAGGGTGTGGCGTGTCTTTTCTCCAAGTTGTATTGTGATGTATGAAACTCAGCCATTCTTTTTGAATGATACACTGCCCCAAGGTATGAGTTTATTTATTTTAGCTTTGACTTCAGTTCATGCTAATACTTTTTGTACTATTTATCTAGTGCCAATTTGCTAAGATCTATAAGATGCAAAGAATGAAAATTCATACCCTTAAAATCTGGATTGATGTTTAAGACAGTTTTCAAAAGCACTTTTTATTTTTATTTTTAGTTACAAATTGGTCTAAGGCCTAATATGGGGAGGATGGAGGTGAGCATATCTTCATTACTCACATAGTAGATTCTCCTTCACTGATCCATGTTAAGTTGAAATAATCCCTTACCAGTTAATCCACGTACTTGGTAGTATTCAGGATGCATATTTTAGTTATGCATATGTTTGCATCTCCTATTTTAAGCTACGTAGAAAATAAAGGCAAGTTCCTGAAAAGTTATATTTGAAAGACCTAAAATAACAAATGTTTCCACTTTTCTCAAAATTTTCACAATTGGAGCATGTTGTTCTGTCTTATTAACGCAGGCAAAGAAGGTAACAGCACAAGGTCGTGGATTACAATAGTCATTGTTGTAACTGGAACTGTAGTAGTAGCTCTATTGGCTTTCAGCACATACTTCTGGTGCTTGAAACGGAAAAAAGGTAAGCTCTAACTCTTAACAATTCTTGAAGCTGAGGCTATAAATAAATTAATGTTTGTGTTTGATAGTTTCATCTTTGCAGACAAACCAGCTATGCAAGAAGATGGACTAAATCCAATGTTTTCTCAAGATCAGAGTGACAAGGAGGAGAGTGTGAATTCTGACCTTCCTATGATGCCTCTGAGTACTATTCTGAAAAGTACAAGTAATTTTTCTGATGAATGTAAACTGGGGAAAGGTGGATTTGGCCCTGTCTACAAGGTAATAAATTAGGATATCTAACATGATATTTATTTGTTTGGTTTCTCCTCATGCAACATTTCTTACTAATTTGAAAAAATGTTTTAGGGTGTTTTACCAGATGGAAGGCAAATTGCTGTTAAAAGGCTTTCAAAAACTTCAGTTCAAGGAGTGGAGGAATTCAAGAATGAAGTAATATTGATTGCAAAATTGCAACATAGAAACCTTGTGAGACTGTTGGCTTGCTGCATTGAGCAAAATGAAAAGCTGCTTGTCTATGAATACATGCCCAATTCAAGCCTTGATTTCCACCTATTTGGTATGACTCCCAACCAAATGGAATATCTTAATACATATATTCATACATATTTAAAACCTTCAAGATACTGCAAAAACCAGAATAAGTGAACTCAACATCACATCTTAATCTAAAATCCTAATGCGATGAGTTTATGAGTTCTATTTATATCGTCCTCATTTAGTTCATTCCTAACCAATGTGGGGCTCCCTCACATTTGAATTTCCAACATTATGGATACTGCTTTGGTTTGAGTCATATTTCTTAAGAACTGCATTGCTTTATATTTTGCCATCAGATATGATGAAGGGTGCACAACTGGATTGGAAAAAGCGATCAAACATTATTAATGGGATTGCTAAAGGACTTCTATATCTTCATGAGGACTCTAGACTAAGAGTTATTCATAGAGACCTGAAAGCTAGCAACATTCTATTAGATCATGAAATGAATCCAAAAATCTCAGACTTTGGACTGGCAAGAACATTTGGAGGAGACCAAAGCCAGGCCAACACAATTAGAGTTGTGGGAACTTAGTAAGTATGAACTATTTTGCTTTCTTTCCACTGTTCAAGAATGCATACCCTGCCAAAGTCTTCACATGAATTACTTAAGAATGCATTTGTGAAGCACAGACACTGTTGTTTTGCTTAACCGGTATCCAATTTAAAAAATATATATCATCTTGTTTTGGAATGTTTGTGTGAATTCTGCTAACATTCCCTATATAACATTCCCAATATATATAGGGACAGGATCATCTAATAGCGATATAAGTTTCATTCTCAATCTTAGTTGTTAATTCTGCTAACATTTAATGGCTCACATGACTAATAAATTAGAGTTGTTAGATGAAAGCTGGATTAATGTTTCCTCTTCTCCGTTACTGCATCACTAAAATTGTGATTAATGATCTGTCTATGAATGATTGAGAATAATGTTAAATCAATACATAAGAATATCCATTTCCATATATATAACATCGTGTGCCACCATGTCTGTTTGTCCATGTTGTGTTTGGTGTCTGTATCTAATTAATTTTTAGCCTGCTTTAAGTAATGAATTATAAGAAAAGGTGATAAAGTTTACTGATATAATGATTTTGAGCAGTGGATACATGGCTCCAGAGTATGCTATGGAAGGGTTGTTCTCAGTGAAGTCAGATGTTTTCAGCTTTGGTGTTCTTTTGTTAGAGATCATCACTGGAAAAAAGAACAGTAAATTCTATCTCTCAGACCATGGCCAAAGCCTTCTCATATATGTAGGTTTCTTAATTTATTCTTGTATTCATTAAGAAAATAAAAAAATAAAAATAAGAGTACGAGCCTGGAGCCAAAGTTGTTCTTTTGTGACTAAAAAGTCACAGATTTAAATCTGGAAAACAGTCTCTTTGAAAATACGCAAGGATATAGCTACTGATAAAAATTTCCCTCACCCCTATTCTTGCTAGTCGGGATTTAATAAAGAGTGATTTAAATTACTTCTAACTAAAATCTAATACATTTACAATTACAGGCATGGAACCTGTGGTGTGAAAGCAAAGGTTTGGAATTGATGGATCCATTAATAGAAAAATCATGTGTACCAAGTGAAGTTCTCAAGTGTCTACACATTGGTCTATTGTGTGTACAAGAAGATGCAGCAGATAGACCAACAATGTCAAGTGTAGTTCATATGCTTGCAAGTGACACAGTGAGTCTCCCTAAGCCAACACGCCCTGCATTTTCTGTTGGAAGAACTGCCATTGAACAAGGGTCTTCATCAAATGCTTCTAAACATTACTCTGTCGATGATGTAACCATTTCTGTAGTGAGACCAAGGTGATCAATAGAAACTTGACTTGCTTTTCTTCTTAGCTTTTGTAGGATGGAAGGAATCTGTGTATGTAAGTTACTCCAAAGACAGAAAAGAAATTTTTTGGTAGAAGGCATAATTTTTGGCATCCATATGCATTTATTATGGGTTCTTTTATTTGTACACGAGGTTGCTAAATTATTTTTTACACTTTTCTTGTTTTAAAAAAATAGCATGTTGAAATGTGTGATTTTCTTTTTTCATTATCCAAAAATCAAGTAGTGTAAGAATTGTATAGCGAAATATGATTATTGATTTTATATCACATTATTGGGATAGTTTGATTGTTCTATAATTACATTGGAGGTGCGAGTGGGAAATGTTGTAATTACGTCGCTACTTTCACATAACATGGATAGGGTAAAGTAGGAGACATTTCTATTTCTCTCTTATACTTAGAATTATCACTTGTTTAGCTAACTCGTCTCTTACTATTTAGTTTTTTGTTTAGGTATATCTCGTACAAGTACTTGTAAATAAATAATTTTTTTTTTTTTTTTTGATAACATAAATAAATAATTTAACCTCAGAATTCAAGTTATTTGGTGAAGCTACATTAATTATTTTGTATTTTTTTAATATGTCCCCATACACAAGAGTTTATTGGGTTTAAAGGGTGAATTATGTATCAGACTCACTCTACCTGTATTAATAAAGCTATAATACAATGTAAAAAACTAATTCAACTCAAAAATTTAAGTTGGTTGATAACACTACATTTGTTACAATTAAGTTTAATTAATTGTTATCTGTAAAATATTTTTAGAAGTTTTCAGTTGAGTAATTAGTTAGCTTTCTGTTATTAGGTTGTTAGTGGAGTTTGTTATTTCGCTGACGTGGACTTTAGAGAGTTAGCTAGTATAAGTATTAGAACTTTACAAGTTCAATGTTTTTTTTACAGAACTATTTTCATTTTCAATGCATTCAGTTCGTAAGAACATTAATAGTTTTATATTTATTTAACAGTACTCTAATTGGATCAGTGATTTCTAAAATAATTTTTTTTTTGTATGAATCTATTTTATTTTATTAAATATATCAGACGATGTAACATAAGCTTGGGTGTAGACTTCAAAAAAAAATAGTGTACAAGGTTATTTATTTAATTATTAAAATATATACAAATTTATATAATATTCTATCAAGGGTTTAGAATATTTATTTATTTATTTTCTTTATTAATACATTTTTTTCAAATTGATTTTTGAGTTTAAATCACAAATTAAATATTTATTTTGTTTTTCTTATTAATAATAATTTTTTAAATTTTTTTGGTAATACACTATAGGCAAAAAAAATTAAAATATTACTATTTTAATAAATAATTACGAATACATAGTTATTTCGAAACTATTTACGAATTTATTGCACTCATTCACGTCCAAATTAAGCGTGACTCCCATTGTAACGCCCGACCACTTCAAAAATCAATGACTATCCCCACGTACTAACACGAGACTTTTCAGTGTGCTTTTTTCTCACTCGCACACTTCTTGGGAAAACTTCGCAGGAAGTTACCCATCCCAGAATTGCTCCAAGTCAAGCACACTTAACTATGGAGTTCTTCCGTTCCAGGCTACCGAAAAGTAGATGCATCTTGTTAGTATAGGTAGTACCAATTAATTCATATAAGTTATCCCAAACTGTGCAGTCTCATTCCTGCACAATCTTTGGAATCCCTTTCTTTCGGGTGTCGATTCGATTCATTCATGCATGTAACCCCCCGCTGGAAGCCTGTCAGGAGCCGCTCCTTGTCTGTGCCTCTTTGCCCCGGTGATCACTCTCCGCCCTCGTCAGCGCTCGGGATGTTACATCCAAGGCATTCAAGCCTAATTTAGGCGTGATTCATCTGGTGTTGACACGTGGCAAAAAAAGTCAACTTACGAACTATAAAACTTTAGAAAGCCATAACTTTTGACTCGGGTATTCGAATGAGGTAATTCTTTTTTTGATTCCACATAACTTTTCGAGATCTACGAATGACATCTCATTTGATATATTTTATCTCTCACAAACACAATTCAAATCTGCAATAATTGTATTACATAGTGTATGGCAAAAAAATCAAAATATTACTATTTTAATAATTAATTACGAATACATAGCTATTTCAAAACTATCTACGGATCTAATACACTCATTCACGCCCAAATTAGGCCACGCCTAAGTTAGGCGTGACTCCCAAGGCATTCACGCTTAAATTAGGCGTGACTCGTCTGGTGTTGACACGTGGCACAAAAAATTAATAGTTTAACTGTAAAACTTTATAAGGCCATAACTTTTGACTCAGGTATCCGAATGAGGTAATTCTTTTTTTGATTCCACATAAATTTTTGAGATCTACGCAATGACATTTCATTTGATATATTTTATCTCTCACAAACACAATTCAAATTTAATTGAATTGGCGACAATAGTAACCAACTCATAAAATTACAACGCAATCAGCTCCTATTAAATACAAAAACAATCAAATCCTATTAAATACAAAATGCAATCAACTTATTGGAGGTTATTTGAATTTTGAATTAATGTTATAGTACCATTATTGGACGTGAATGAGTGCAATATATTCGTAATTAGGTTCAAAACGACAACTTATTCGTAATTATTTATTAAAAAAGTAATATTTTAATTTTTTTTGCCAATATAAGAGTATCAATTCCAGTTTGATAAAAGTTTGTAACATAATGTTATCAAAAAAAAAAAAAAAAGTTTGTAACATAAATGTCAAATTCATGATTTTAAAACGAGGTAAACCTGTACGTGTCATCTTTACTTATGGAACTCTTAAAAGTTAATTTTATGGATTTTTATATGATTTGAATTAGAGTTTATTTTGTTTTGAAGGACACATATTTTTATTTTCATTTTGACTTTGTGGTTTTGGTTTTATGTAAGGATACCTTAATTATAAAGTTAAAAAAATCACAAACGAGTTTTTAAGAAATGAGCAACTTTTCTAGACTTGCATGCTCTCATTATGAGTTAAGTGGGTAAAATATTAACTTATTTTAAACAACATATTTAAGCCACTAGGTTGGATCTAGTGGTGAGGCATTTGGATAGATTGTATTAGATTATGTATTCAATTTTTACTTAAAAAAAACATACTTTTAACTGAACCAGTTTGACCCGCAAGTTAAATGGGTCAAGCTTAAGCCAACCTGTTTAACAGCCTTATCGCTTTTCATTAAAATCGACCTTATAACGAAGGAGTAATCAAGAATCGGATTAAAACAGTTTTGGTCAAAAATAAAAATTAGAGACTTGTTTCATTGTGTTCAGTTTTGTTAAAGAGTTCGCTTTTTCTTCAGTTACTGCAGATAAGTTATCTGCAGTAAGCCCAATACAACGTCATTTTGAGGCAGAAATCATGGTGTTTTTATAATTTTAATTTATTTCAGGGTTATAATAGTCTTTATATTTATAATTTTTTAAGATTTCAATACCAAAACGACGTCGTTTTGAGAATAAATGCAGATAACTTATCTGCAGTAACTGCAGAAACATTTTTCCCTTTGTTAAAACACAAAACAAAAACAGCCCGCTTAACAGCCCTATTGCTTTTCATTAAACCTAACCTTATAATGAAGGAGTAATCAAGAATAGGGTTAAAACAGTTTTGGTCAACAACAAAAATTAAAGACTTGTTTGATTGTGTTCTGTTTTGTATATTAATTAATAAAATTGGTGTTTTCTGTTGTTAAAACACAAAACAAAATAACTTTGTTCTATCCTGAAGATAGAGATGTCTAGCCCAATAGACTAGTAAGTTTCTTTTGGATCTAAGTGCTCTCTAAGGTATTTATAGTTTAGCATATCACTTTGCACAAAGAGCAAAGAACAGCTTTCGCGAAAGGGATGGTGTGTGTGCACAGTGACAGCATAACAGTAAGAGAGAAAATAATCATACTTGTAGGCTTTACCTCCTATTTATAGAGTTTACTTGTGGGTATTGAATTCTGGACCTTCTATGCCTCTTCCAGCAGCTCAAACCCATGTTTAATGCTGTCGTATTAGGATTAATATCTTTTATGGATATCCTCATTTAATTATATCAAATTTATATTTGGATTGCTCATTGTTGGGCTTGGTGATAAATAAGCCTCATATATGAGTCCATAATAGTTACCCCTCAGTCAGCTCGGTGTCCGGGCTGCCGGGGTGCATATAGCTTTAAGTATATCCCGACTTTCTACAAGTTTCATATCTGTCCAGATTTCTTGGAAAATTATACGGATTTTTCTAGATTTTCAAAAAATTACATTGATTCCTGTATCAGGGTTAAATAGAAAATTCTTCAGATTTCCCATCAAGACGCATTCGGGAATTTCCATTTGGGAATATCCAGGATTTTTATATTAGTTCTAAGGGGTAATATATCTATCATATACCTCGACAAATTGAATCTTCAACTTGCCGAGATATAATTTATATTGTTTTAATCCAAGTTGTAATCAACTTGGATTGCTTTCACTTCCTGATAATGAGTTTCCCCAGGTCCATCTTTTATCAACCCGGTTCATCTGCTCAATGTAAAGCTTACCATCACTTTGTTATGTGAGGAAGTATCTCTCTTGAAACCCGGCTCTTAGCCTTTGTATTATTTCTTATATCACAGTTCTATATGAACCAGGATGATCTCTGTCTGTCTGCAAAAATTATGGATCCGAGACAAAGGCATCATACTGTGAAAGCAATGGTGAAACCGTTACACGTGGTAAACATTGATATTATTAGCTGTAAGCAGCATATGTCGTATTCGTATTTCGTGCACATTAAATGCGCAAATCGTATCACCTATCTAATCATTGCTTTTAGGGGTGAATTAGCGCTTATGCCCTGACCTTTGCTATTCGAAACGCCAGCGGTTACTCTCACTATTCACATTCCCCCCTTTTTCCTATTCAATGACAGCAGTTATACTTTGCTATTCATATTTCTTTCTCAAGGATTAATCGTTTCTC